CTAGGTTTGGGCTGAAGGAAAGATGCTCAGCCATCAAGAGCTGTGATGGTCTTCTTGCAGCATTACGGCATCACTTGGAGGATTCTGAGGTCGTTGAGGAAATGCAAGAGAGGTAGGATTTGATTATAGCCTTAACACTTTCATCAGTGGTAGCCAGATACGTTGCAGAATTCCTCTCCACATGTAGTGTGATGGTATGTGAGCTAAGACTGGTGATCCTCGATGACTGTGCAGCTAGCATTGTCAACAAGTCATTGGCTGCCTGGACCCAGCATGCATTGCGCAATTTCGGCAATACTACTACTCCTAGTAATGTACAGTCACCATCTGATGATGAGAGGAGGGCCAGTAGGGTTGATACGAAGAACAGTGAAGCGGATACTTTGTTGTCAGGGGTGAGTTAATAAGAGCCATGTGCGTATAGTACTGATATTCAGTTGGATGCTGCCTTGGCTGATGCCCGTAGAGGGGAGGTAGACCCTTGTATGGTATACCTATTAGCAGTATGCATGTACAGACGTGTAGCTCAACAAGCAGGAGAGATCATTGGCTTGGTCCGTCCCATGGACCCTACAACTTCCGAGAGATTATACGAGTACTGCTTACAATAACGTGTGTTATGGCACTATGCGTAGTGAATAGATACCTGTCTAACATCTCGGCGTCGTTAGTGTTGCCTGAGGGTAATGATACCTATTGGGATGCTTCGGATCTCCTCACAAGTGCATGGAGACCAGTGTTAGAGTATGCCCAGGCCTTCCAACTCCGTGATGGTGTAGAGGTATAAGAAGGGGTTCTGTGATTAGCGTATAGGATAACCACAGGTACTGGAGTGGTGCAAGGCGCATTGTGAGCAACTTTCACTACGGCTATTGGCAGCTCTTATCACCTGTGTATGTCCTAATGATGCCATGGAAGGAGGCCTACTATTGCAGTTAGAGAAGTGTGGGGTATCGGATATAGATGGGGTTCTTACTGTTAGTAATAGGTATGTGCTGGAATATACTAAGCAGGGTCGATGATGATCGAGGAGAGGGCAAGATACATGAATATTCATTCATCGATATCATAAGTTTTACTAAGTCTAATTCGATGTTTCAGCGAGATGGAGTTCCGCGTTGTACCAAGTTGGCCTCTTGCTGATCTTGCGTGATCTTGCTATTCCCCAACGTGCAACAGTGCAGACACGATGCGACCTTCGGGGTGCGCAGAAAAGTTAATAGAGTGTTGTTATCACACTGAATAGGAGGAATACCTTCATGGGGCTCGAGATCAATCCTCATTGTTCATCAGCGTTCCTAATGTTACAGCCTTCTTCTTCATCTTCACCAAGTAAGGCGAAGAGTGGCCGTAGTGCAACACAGACAGATGATAAACGGTAGAGTATAGTCATCGCTGCTGGCACTCTCTCATCGTTGAGCGCTCAGATATGGGTCCCCGGATCCTGGAGGGATACCCATGCAACCTATGCGGGGTCCACAACAACGACCAAGGCCGCAAAATGACTTGCTGGACATCTCGTCGTCAGCAGCAGCATCAGCAGCAGCAGCTTCTGGATCGTCTCCTAGCAAGGATAGAAGGAGCTCTAATTCCCTCATGGTCGATCTTGAGGATTCTGTTACAGGAGCAGTGCGGAAAGGTCATGAGGCGGCGATTACTGTCGATCCTATTCGAGTAATAGTATTCTCCATTATAATAGTGTCCTTAATCTTCTTCACGACCTTGGGGCCATCATTGCCATCCCCACCACAGCACGAGAGCAACGGAGTCGACTTGGGCTCAGCAAGAGGATCGTCTGCTAGCAAAGTGTCTTCAGCGTTCTTAAACTCCTGTGCCTCTTCGGACAGAAGAAGTTTTGAAGCGATATTAGATCGGTATGGGAGAGACCTCACCACAGGCGATAAGCTCCTCTGTATGCATTATGCTTTACAAGACGGTGGTGAGGGGTACTTAGACATAGTGTCGACTCTGCTATCCATGGGAGTTGATCCTGTTGTGGTTGATCCTACTGGGGTATCCTTACTCGAAGTGTCCTGTACCGAGGGTCGGGTCGAAGCTTTTAGGATGATGCTGAGACGTGATACAAGATTGTGCAGTAGCCAGGGGGCAGATAGTCTGTATTACTTTGCAGGGAGGGCACCGTCACAAGGGGTGACGAAGCAGCTCATTGAGACTATACGGGAACAATGCGATGGGCAACCTAGCAAGGGGAAGCTCGGCCCACAGGCAGGCGGGGCAGATAAAGATCTGCAGATGCCTGGGGAGGTAGACGTTAGAAGAGAGGGTCGAAGCTATGAGTCAGAGTGGTCGGAGATAGCGAGCAAAGAGAAGTATTCCAAGGAGGTCGCTTCACTTCAGATTGAGGTTGAAAAATGGCGTGATAGAGCGTTCGATGCAGCGCGTCAGAAACAGCAGTTACTGGATAGAGTAGCCCGTCTGGAGGCCCAGTTGGAGGCTAAGGAGGTTAACGAGGCTAAGTCAACCGCCACACCACGTGTAGAGCCTCCCGAGAGGAAGGATGACGAATACGAGCGCCTGTGGAGGGACTCCAAGTTCGTTGATGCAGATAAGCCTCTGACTGGTGGTCCTGCGAATGAGCTCATAAGTTCACCGTTGCCTCCACCTGAGGGACGTAAAATGTTTCTAACTTGATCTGTAAAGCTGATAGTACTCGACTTGGTTAATTAGACATGGGGGAATCTGGCGTCTTCTGTAGCCATCCATCTATCATGTATCCTTCCATCAATGCCTTCAAATTGATGCTCATCGGCCTCCTGGAGTCCATCACCACGGTACGGACTATCGCTTTATAAATGGAGTAGACACATCTCGTAGTTGCTTGTGGCAATCTTCCGCGCAATCCGAGGCATCGAGCCGAAGGCTTCCTCAGCTCTACAATCTGAGCCTCCTGTTGGAGACAGCACACCTATGGAACAGGTCGTCGAGGCTAGAGATAAGGCATCTCAGCCTCGAGAACGCAAAGAGCGAATCAAGAGATGCATTTACTGTGGTCATAGGTTAAAGCGCGGTGATCACTCGAGATGCCGACCGCTAACTCGAGAGGAGCGACTACAGATCGAGCCTAAAGTAAAAGGAATCTATCATGCCTAGTAACGTCATCCTACCTTCTCAGGATAGTAGATCAACCGAACGATCTGTCGAGCTCGAGGCACTCCTCAAGGACAAGATGCATGATGGTACTCAACCGTGGGATGATATATCGATTGTCGCTATTCTCGCAATATCAGTCCGTGACGTAATCACGATGCTAGAAGACTCTCTGGTGATCGTTAGAAATGAGAGACGCCGATTGCAACGAGTAAGGCAGGAGAATATCGATAATGATGATCTTATAAGTATGCTACCCATGGTACCAACAATCTCATGCTACATGTAGGTACCGTAGCTGATAGCGAGGACCTTCCGTTCCTCGCGCCTCTCTGATGAGTATTCCATGGCTTTGTTGATGTGTTCATGTCACCCGTTATCACCTACCAATTCATTGTGTGATTAATTCGCGAGGGGGAGTTCAGCAGGTGAGCTTCAGCTCCTACTTGCCTTAACGTCCGACATCGAGGGTGAGGAGAACTCTCGGAGGAAGCAGCTCGAGATCTTACCTTCGTATGTTATGGATCCATAGTGCTGTTCGGTGATGTTTCCGCAGGATCAGGATTCGGATAAAGCAATGCGATCATCGAGGGTCGATGATGAGCAGACCAACAGAATACGAATACGTGAGAATGTCGGTGTAGGGGGACACGGATTTCATCCAGCTCAGTGGTGTCCGAAGTCTTAGGTAAATATAGTCTAAGGATGTTGGCGAGAGTTTTAGGACTACCATGGATCGGAATCCGGAGCTCAGTATCATACCCCTGTCCAATCCTACAGGGTGAGAGAATCCAACAGAGAGGATTGAGGGAATATAAAGGCTTTAATTGAGCCTGATCAGCCTCATCATGAGGTGACCGTTTCATCATGCGGTGTGGCGGGCGCAGTGGCCTCAAAGATACAGAAAGGGTGCTCAATCATTATAGTGTGATCGAATGGGAGAATATATACATTGTGCTGGACACCGGCAATGTCCTACTACTCTTAACCACAGCTCGCTATCGATCATTCGCCAATAGGGAGCATGGCAGTGTTTGGTTGGCGAGTCCTTTGGAGGTTCAATAGCGCCCGAGAGGAACCACGCAGTAAGCCTTAATGAGTAAGGATTGGACCTTTGGAGGAGCTCGTTAAATAACAC